GAAATACGTCTAGTTTGAGATGATGGTAAAAATGTTATACATTATAATTCAAAAATGTTTTTGAAAAATTTATAAAAATTATTTAAAAATACAAATTTTGAAGCAAATAATAAAAAATGAGTGAATTTTATTTGGAATCAAACTAAATTTCGAAATGTGAAAGGAAGAATCAAATAACATTCATAAAAAAAGAGAGATCAATAAATATATACCAAACTCAATTAACATTGAGGAGTAAAATTTGAGAGTTAATTTTTTAAAAACTACACATGCGATTTTTACAGAACTTGGTAGTTTGACGTAATTTGAGTCGTTAAATCGAAATATGGAAAAAATCGCTATGTTATTTCAGATAAAGTCCGAGTTTGTGTCAAAATACCTATGTTAGAATAGTGCTATATATAAATCTAATACCTATCCTAAGTCGCGCTTTCGAGACATGGAAAACGCAAGTTGAATTTCGTTAACCGGCCCAGTAGTACGAGAGTATAGAACTGTCCTATTTTTTTGCGCAGTGTATATCTTCCCTTCAGTCTTCTGATGATATTTCCTGGTTTTCAGTACATAAACGAGTCAACACTAAGATACGGCTGAAGTCAGTCAAGCCAACATAAAGCTGAAACATTTCATACTGAAATGTCTTTATATATTTTTTTCGGAAGTACACAGAACTTAAATTTTGTTTTAGCTGCAGATCGTTTATCTAGCGGGTTTGCCTGCTAGTATACGTTTAGATTCTGAATTTTTAAATCATATTCATTCACATTTGTGAAAGTTTTCATACTATGTTTATACTCATTAAAAGGTAATATATATATATGTATTTATGTACACTTTTTGTTACTACTATTTTATACACTGAGCTATATTATTTAATGCACAAATGAACGAAAACATTTAAGTTCGATATAAGCGGATATGGTTTAAATCAGCGGTCGTCAACTCTTAGAGCTTCCCGGACCACTACATATATAATTTTATATTTGGCAGACCACTAATATGAATTAAAAGAAAGGTAAATACATTTATACAATAATAATCAGCAAATAACACATATTTCGTTCACATTGAAAAATTACATAAAAGTACAAAATTCTTAACTTCTTGTATAGAAAGCTTCACATTTCCATGTCACTGAAATGGAACTTCACGAAAAGCAAGAACAAACTCGCAAACGCAAAGCGATATCAATAAATTGACAGTGTTAAACCGCCAATTTTTAATTATTGTAAACATAATAATCATCTTTACTCAGCAATGGCGCCATCGATCAACAGTTAGACAAAATAAAAACGGAAACTTCCAGTGATGCAATTGTAAACAAGAATGCAGATGGTTCTCATAAAAATCCATCAAGGTGCCTATTGACATGGAAGAAAACTGTGTTATTAACGACCACAATAGCATAAGTTTGTAATTCAATAGGAAAGAGAATTCCAGTTCTCGCTATTATTGATGACAGCAGCATATCCATGGATGCCGTCTCTCACTTTCAAATGTCGCTAGATACACTTGCAAAAGTAGCTAAAAAGTCCCTAAATTCTGAAGAAATTTCGCTATAAGTAGTAGCTAAAATAAAAAACAAATTATAATCCATATTCCATAACAGGTTTTGTTACTCGTCGTTTTTTAAACTGAATCTTCATAAAAATATAAATAACGTCCAAATTTTTTTGCTGACCATCAAAATGTTTTCACGGACCACCGGTTGCTGACCGCTGGTTTAAATAATTGAATTATTCTTGTATCGAGTAGGCGTGGTTCTGATTTGAAAAATCGTAATTTTTAAGACAAGTGGAATGCCTTTCTTCTTTCAGTTTTTTTAAGACACACTTCCTAAAAATTAGGATTCCGGAATAGACAAAATAAAAAACATTTTGATAAACGAAATTGGAGAAATTGGAGAAATGTATGCTTATTCACACGAATATTTTTTCTTCAGTTCATATGAGATTATAAATGTGTTTCTTTTCCTTTTAACAAGAAAGTGTTTTTGGTCGCATTCAATTGCATGAAATAGTCTACGTCTCAATTGAAACGGCAACCCTGTGCCGTAGCAACTTCACCCAATTGCCTACAGTTACGCAAGCAACCTATAAACTATCGGCGACAAACTGACACTTAAGCCGCATATAGTAAAGATATTTATTTATTTCATTTTATTTGTTTTTCATCGTTGCCGGTTTTCGCCGGTTGCATATTTCCGAATTTATATTATATATAGATGTTAAATTTATATTAAATGTTAAATGCACGTGCTCTTGCATTTTAAATTTTTCCGGCTTAGCTTTCTTATAATATTCGTCCCGCGCTGCACTGCACGGGGAATAAAACAATTTACAGTTACGCAAGCAACCAATAAACTGTCGGCGACAAACACTTAAGCCGCATATATATAAGGTATAGATCTATCCTACATAATAAAAGTCAATTGAAAATCGATTTTTGATAAACCTTTTGTGATGATAAGTATTCTATATCATCTATCCTATAACATTCTATTTAGGAACTGATATAAGTTCTTTTCTGAATGTGTGATTACTTCACGTTTACGATTATAACGGCTTACACCTAGTGCAAAATGATCTACAAACCTTATCAACCTTAACAAATGGTAGGCGCTGTGCCTTTAGGATAAACTTTAAAAGCTAAAAACACAAATTCTTTGTCATTTCGTATATCTATATTATGGCTGTTGCAATTTCTGAGCTTTCGGGTAACCCAAAAAATTGATATAGTTCAGACATAAAATATTTTCTGCTATCTGTTAGGAAAAGCTAAGTTCTTTTTACATATGAAATATTATATATATGGTTATTATTTTATGCAATTTAAAATTTGTTACAGCAAAATATATTATTTTTTAATGATATTTGAGGGAGCTTGACTGGCATATTTAATACAGCTGCAGAAATTCCTAAATAATGCCTTTTTAGTTTATGACTGCTAATTTTGGGACACTTCGGTAGCTTGTGAAAGTGGAAACTAATAACAAATATTATCTAGTTTTAAAAGACTTGCCCAAGTTTCCATGTGCCTAATAAAGGAATAATTATTCCTCGTTTATTTGATGGATTATGTTATGTATAATTAAAACCCGAAATATATATCTTCGGATTTTTGTAAGTTTTACTCGCAAGTAATAAAAATCTACTTTTGGCATCCTTCCTAAAGCATGCGAAGGTGTTGTAATGTACTATATTTTTCGATTATACTGTATTCTCAATTTTTATTTGAAAACTAGACATATACTTACCCGAATTCAGAGTCTACGAGAGCTGAGGAAAGGCACCAGATGCAAGTCTCTCGGGTTCCTTTTCTTTCTGCCCTAAATTGCAAACTGATGTTTCAGAAAGAGCTATTTTAGCAGGTCGTGTCTTCATGCGCAACATTGATCTCTTAAGCTGTGTTTAAAGCAATGAAGATTGCAGTATATCATGCATAAAAAGTATTTAAAATTTCTAAGGAATTAAGTAAAACCTAAAATGGATACTGCATCAGTAGAACGGAGATTACAAATAAAGAAAAAAAAAAACTACAGCTATTTTCCCTTTATTTATAGATTGTTATCATTCTACATTTCAATCTATGGAGCTCTTATCGGAATTATTTTATTTTGAATCTTTAAGACGAATCGTATCTTTTGGACGAATGAAATGTGTAAGTAATAACAGTAAAACATAATTTATATAAAACACAGCATTTTGCTTGCTTATAGGGCTACCTTTTATAAGTTATTTTAAAACGTTTTCTTTCTTTATGAACCACTATACTTCATAAATCTATTATGTTATACATTAACTCAAGATAAGGGCTCACCGTCGTCCGAGCGGTAAAGTCGCTGAACACTGGTAACTCGGTCCGGGGTGCGTAATAGCACATCGCACATTGAGTTGATCAATGTTATCGAATTTTGCTTACTGCGCATGCTCAATAGTGTATCGTTGGCGTGGGAGGAAATACTGGCGACTAAGGGGGCATAAGCAACCCTACACAAGGCTGTTAGTCATATTGGGGGAGGGGTTACCTTTTTTTTACAATTGCCAATACTATAGAAATTTGTTGTGTGCTTATTGCATGTGTTTCTGTTTCATTTCATTTTGGTTTATTTTGTTCATAAACATTAGAATTAATATCAGTTATTTGACTTTAATTCAGTAATTTAAACTGGATTTATTCCTTAATTTGCTAAAGTATATACGAATGGAACGTATGGTAAATACTCAATTACCTTTTTTCCGCAGAAGTATAATCAATGAGCATTCAGCTAATATATCTTCTAATGTTTTCTATTTTGTTATCCTTCTTAAACAAAAATTCGCGAAGTTTACAATCGATAGTTACACTCTAAATAATGAAACAACTTACATTCTAACGAGTTTTAAAACCCAGAACAGTTTACGCCCAGATAACACAATATCAATCATATACCGTTTTTATCTCCTTTTAAAATTCCGCCAAAGTTGTAGTTGCGCCAAATTCTACTCTGAGCACGCGCAGTAAGCGAAATTCATTTAACATTGATCAACTCAATATGCGATTTGCCATTACGCGTCCGGGGTTCGAATCCTGCAAACGGGTGGGCTGCATGGGCTTTTTTTTTTTTTTTGTTTTTACCCATGTGTAACGTGTATATAAACCAATTTCCCTTAGAAAGCCCTCCACGAAGGCAACCTTTCTCTTAGACACATAGCATACGAGTGCTTAGGTTTAATCAAATAAACCAAAACAATTCAAGATAAGCTTTGAAAGTTTTACTAATGTGTGCGCTGAAGGTGTGCATACTTTACTTTTCTTAATGTTTGGTAACAGTATGCCTCAAGTTGAAAAAAAAATACGTTTATGAATATTAAATTTATTTACACACTGGTATTATATTAATAAACGATTCACCAAAATGTAGTATTTAAATAAGAGATGAAAAAAGCAGCTGTGTGGAAATGTTCTACACGGACTGAATGAAAGAAAAGTCAGCAACAAACATGATTTTTTTTACAAGAACGACTCTTTATTTCTCCGAATTTCAACACACTTATTAACATCTGCATGCAACAGTTCCGTAAAATATGAGAACAATCTCTTCAAAATTTTTCTTCCATAATGATTTTCGTCAAGTATATACAGTACTTAAATTAATAACAGCATGAATCACAGTATACCGCATCTAGTCCGTGAATTACATTTGACACAGACAGGCGATCTCCTGGTTCAACGGCTGTTTATCTATTGAGCATACAAGTTTTGATACAGACTTATCACCGTTTCTGAGACATCTGTGGAATAAAAAATATCTATTTGAATACATAAAGAAATATGATAATAAAATAAACGATATGAAATCAAATACATTTATATTTTTGTTAGGAAAAAAGTGCAGTTCATTCATATGAATGTGATTTTGCAATTCGCACATCATTTACACATGTCATATTTTAATATGCAGAATAATTCAGGAAATATTTAGGAAATTTAGCCCGCTAATTAATATGACAGATGAAACAGCTGTTCACTTGATTAGATTAAAAATACCGGTTTTCAGCAATTTCCTAAACAATTTTGACAGCTTGTCGTTTGAGAACGATCACATTTTCACAATCAAAGATTAGTTTTTGTGACAAATGACCCAAATACCACAACTTCGACATGCGACAAAATGACCTCGGATTGACGGTCTTTCAACTATATACAAATGTAATCAATTAAATGTATCGAGGTAAACCTTGGTTTTTTTTTTTTTTTTTTCATTCAAAGTGGTCCTATAATTTTATCATGAAGCATTCCTTTCCAAATATTCCCTTTGGGGATGTTCCGTTTCAGCTCCCTTATGGCATGGGGGACTTCCCTAAATTATGTTTATATTAAATGCATTACATACCTACATTATGTTTATATTAAAGCGAATCGAACTGTTGGGAAAAACGTTTATATACGTATAAAAACACATAAAAAACTTACAGTAGTACTTCTTACACGGCGCTCATAAGTAAAGTTGCAAAATTGTTCAAGGACATTATGGAAACATTAGAAACTGGTCCATTTAACAAAGAAATATTGGATAAAGATGATCGAAGCAATTCTTTCTGGCATTTTTAAATTTCAGGTTTAGGAACCAGGTTCATTGAAAACGTTAATGAAGTATTTGTTATACAACACTATTCTCATATGGAAAATGGGGAGAATATGCACATGATGTCGAATTTCTGAAAAAATAATGGCTAGATTTTAAAGAAATTTGGAATGAATATACATTTACAACAGAGAAAAATATGTACTATTGAAAAGCCACTCTATGTACGCACGATAATCAATACAGCTCATAGTGCAGGGATGTCCAAGCAACTACCTTCTGATATCGAACTGAAAACGAGTCTAATATGTGGTATGGTCCCTTCTCACAGGCAGAAAAGTTGTGCAACGTGACAGCATACTGGACAGAAGGCAGTTGAGGAGTCCCTGTGGCAGTCGATCCCACTCCAACAGCAAGGCAGTTTTCCCCACCGGGATGGTTCTCAGAGGGGGATGAAATTCCGCTCCCAAGAGCATCCAAGTCCTTCAGTATACGGTTACGGTCAGGAGTTCTAGCTGGCCAATCCATGTGGCAAATATTTTCGCTTTCCAGGTAATCATCCACAGCTAAACCATTTGTGGACGAGCTCTATTGTCCATTAAAGGGGACCAACTGTGCTCCTGAAAAGTCAAACATATAGCTCTAAGATCGCCTCTCTATACCTCATAGCAGTCAGGGAGCCTTTGTCGAACACATGCAAGGGTGCACGGCCGTCCAACATAATGTCTGCTCAAATCATCTCCGCCACCATAATGAAATGTTTCGCTGAAGAGAGATGGATGGTATTCTGTTCCAGGATCTCTCCAGATATAGGTGCGCCAAGAATCAGTGATCAGTCTGAATCTCGACTGATCTGTAAAAAGCACCGTATTCCACCAAGGTAAACGCTATCTCTTATATACTACAATGAGTGGGATGCAAACAGCACTTTTTCTGGCATACAGCTCAATCTCGTGAAGCCTTCGCAACTGTATACCGCGATATTCGGGTCCGAGTGGCAGCATACAGCTCACGTGAGAGTTGTAAAGCTGTAGCAGTCCTGCGTTGCCACGCTGAATGTGCCAAATAACGCTCATCATTCGTTGTCGTGGATCTTTATTGACCTTGTCCAGGTCTTCTCGGTATGGATCCAGTGTCGCAAAACTGTTTCCAAGAATTGCGGACGAACCTGAGCGTTACATTGAGCTCTATAGCCACCTGCGCTTGTGACTAGCCTACATCCAATCTACGGACAATTCTCCATCTCATTCCGTCTTCCATCTATCCGTCTTCCATTTATCCGTCTTCCATTTAACCGTTTTCCATCTATCCATCAGTTCTATCTATTCATCTTATTCCGTCTTCCACTATCTTGTCTACTCATATTTTACCTGGTATCTTATAAAATTTTCCTAACACTTGCGAGAAACACGGTGAATGTCGTGAAGGAATACGAGCTCGCAAATCGTCAGAAACCTCTCGTACGATTATATTCCCTCCACACTCACAGCTCCGCAGATGTGTAAGCTTACGTATTCGATTCAAATATTTGCATTAATTTCGATATTTGCATTAATTTTTCGGCGGCGTAATTAGTATCTTGGTTCATTACTTCTGGCAAAAATAAACATAATTTTTTAAATTAGCTTTATTTTGCACACGAGCGTATTATCGTCAAGTATCTGTTGTTTAGTTTCGTCTATTTTCTTTAAAAGTAACAAGAAGTAAATCGAAATAAGCTTTATCTTTTTATTTATAAGAGTATTCTGATGTTACTCTGCTGATGCCGTTTTTAATGTGATCCACTTTGGGATTGCTAGAGAAAGTTTAATTCTTAAATGAGCAAGTGTTTTCAAAATTAACTACCTACCTTATATATAAGAGTTATAGCTCGACAGATGTTTCTCATCTGTCGTAGTTAACTCCTGCGCATTTACTGGACATAATCAAATCAATTTATTCTTTTAATGAGTTGACAGTTTGGAAGTCGTAGGTCTGCATCTGTTATGATATTACTTTGGAAACACAAATTATGGTGAAAAATTTCAATTTGTTTGGTTTTAAAAGCGCATTTGGTAATTTAGAGATTTAGTTATAAACATACTATTAAAATACTTATGAAAATAACGTTTCTGACTGAGGTACAGATTGCGGATTCCTGAAAGGAAAAACATGTAGAATTTACCAAAGAGAAAATACAGGGATGTAGAATAACCAGCCAGACTGAATCAATAAAACTAGTTTGTCTCCATTTTTATTTGACTTGAGTTACATGCGATATAAATAGCAACCAGGAATCTGCTGTTGCAGATTGCAGTTTACAACGTGAAAAAAATGGGAATAGGTAAGTAGTACTGCGCAGTAGTCTTCTTGTATGAAATATAACTCAGAAAATGGTTAATAAGTACGGATCCCTTTTATATTTCTGGTTGTTATTCTCTAAGTTGCTTATGAGCCAAAATTATTTTTTAAAATGCTTTATAGTTGCTATTATGATGAAAGTCATCAGATGAGAAGTATTAAAAGACCTGGCAAGTTAACTAAATTTTCAGTTCACTAAATAGTTGACAAATCACTAAAAGGTTTGAAGTTTAATTTTTAATAAAATGCTGTACAAAATTCATTTTTGCAGGATGACAGATCAGCAAATTTTTGAGACTAATAAAGGATTTTCTTGCCAAATGTTCCTTACAATCAGCCTTCACTAAAAGCTGAAAAGGTTAAAGTAGCTGAATACTGGTAGTTTGAGCTGCCCAAACGAGATATTGGTTAGTCACTCCGACTACAGTACCAAAGAGCCCGGGTTTGAATCACAGAGAAGACATGGTTGCTTGTAAATGTATATTGTACGTTTTCTGCATAGGCGCATTCTAACTATATGGGGATGCAAAAGTCCTCTCGTGCGGTTTAGTGGTAAAGGAAGAAGGGTGGGATTCACTCCCTCAACACCTGGTTGGGCAAAATCATACTGTCACTTATACAGTGCCCAAAGCTCTTGCTAACGACAGGCGTAATCTTGTATTCCTTAGCACGATAAACTTCGTGGGCTTGTTCTGATGAGATGAGACGAGTGAGATTAGTTACAACAATAACGACTTTCAGTTCGATTTGTCTCGGGTGTGAATACAATCAAACGGGTTGTCTGCATGGTTAGATTTCGTGGTTTTCCTCCTGTGTATGTGAACACGAGTCAGACACCCTCAGAAAATGCTTCTCGAAGGCATTCCTTTTCTTAGGCAATACGCGTTCGTGATTTTGCCGAATTCAAATAACCTAATATTCTCTCAACTGAAATGAAAAACATTCTTATGTTGTTAAAACATTTTTACATTACTTACTTTCATTTAGCTATAAGAATTCGAGGCTGTGGTCCACTGTTGTGACACTGAACTCTGCTGTATATAGTGACATCCTCTTCCATAATTGGCTGTGAAATAAAATTTTCGCTTTGTCAGCACTATGCAGTTTACAGCAGTATAAAGAAAATGTCTAAATTCTTAAAAATGACACATCATTCATCTTTAAATTGATATCGGTTTTACAGAAAAGCGAACTGCATTTCAAAGGAATCTAATACCAGCTCCTCGGTTTCAAGCAGCAATCATATTTTTGTTCAATAAATTTAGCAGAATACTGTTGGTGTTTCTAAAACAGATGCTTTGTGAGATAGCGTAGTTTTTGTATAATATTTCGATGAAACGATGTCATTTATGCGTCAGTTTAGATTTTCGAGGATTTTCTATCATTATATGAATAAATATTATGGCAGGAATTTAACAATTATTGAACATAAATTAATCTTAGTCCGCAAGAAAAATGAAAAAACTAAATGGAATAATAAAAAAAAAAAAAAAATCTGAAATGTTTCAGATTTTAAATTACGTCCAAAGGGGCGTTTTTTTAACATTTTGTATGTTACCTTTCTTTATTAAATATCATGTTCCTCGCACTTAAACCATAAGATCCAGTGCAACAGCAATATCGCAAAATAGTTTTAAAACGAGCATATCTTTAGAATTTCCGATACAGAGACTCACGCGCTGGAGATAAAAATGTTTTTTCTGCACAACGTTGCCATTGCTCGCTTTGAAATCCTTGAGTTTGTTAATCAAAAATTCGTCAAAGTTTTAAAAAATAGGAAATCGATCATAAAACAAATTTCAAATTTGGTCTTCCACATGCTCATATTCGTTGGAGGATTACGTTATTCAAAATTCGATGACTCTATGTACCGTTATTTTATGACAATGCGAGAAATATACATACATTTACGCAGATTTTCATTATTTAATTTCTTCAAATATAATGCAGGACTCTAACATTTTATGGCAACAGTTTGAAAAGTGAACCGACATTTATGAGTCCGACGCAAAATGCCAAAACGAAACTAATAGTCCTTCGGGATTCAAATCCCTTTGGACTAAAAAAAAAAAAAAAAAAATCTGAAATGTTTCAGATTTTAAATTACGTCCAAAGGGGCGTTTTTTAACATTTTGTTGTGTTACCTTTCTTTATTAAATATCATGTTCCTCGCACTTAAACCATAAGATCCAGTGCAACAGCAATATCGCAAAATAGTTTTAAAACGAGCATATCTTTAGAATTTCCGATACAGAGACTCACGCGCTGGAGATAAAAATGTTTTTTCTGCACAACGTTGCCATTGCTCGCTTTGAAATCCTTGAGTTTGTTAATCAAAAATTCGTCAAAGTTTTAAAAAATAGGAAATCGATCATAAAACAAATTTCAAATTTCAAATTTGGTCTTCCACATGCTCATATTCGTTGGAGGATTACGTTATTCAAAATTCGATGACTCTATGTACCGTTGTTTTATGACAATACGAGAAATATACATACATTTACGCAGATTTTTCATTATTTAATTTCTTCAAATATAATGCAGGACTCTAACATTTATGGCAACAGTTTGAAATGAAAAAAAAATGCCAAACGATAAAAAAAAAAAAAAAAAAAAAACTCAATTATTTTAAATGATCAGTTTGTATAGTTTGTATCGGTGTCCTACTATTTGTAGATGGTATAAGAACTGTACAACGTAACAATCTTGCTTTTAAGCAAGAAGAAAGGAGATGAGGACTTTGGCGAACGCCGTTTCCTACAGTCCGTAAGGTTATTTTTTCCACCGTATCAGATTTACGCAGTGCTGACTTTCTACCCATCAGGGGAACTGTAATGCTAAAAATTGTTCAGCTGTTGCTATATACAATCACAGTTATATCGGTAGTTATTTAAATCCACTGATACGAATGTTGCCACATGCTGTCCCAGTTATATCGTTAGTTATTAAATATATCCACTGATGCGAATAATTTGGAAAGATAAAATCAATAACCTTCGTTTTGAACAAAAGAAACCTATCTAAATATCAAAGTAAAGTCATAGATATGTTTCCAGGTTTGTCGAAATTTACAATATTTTTATGTTTAACTCGAGTACGTATGTGTTATTTTGCATGTCCATAAAGCTTAAAATGCCGAAAACCGAAATTTTCAGATTGAACTGAATATTTTATGAAGAGATATGGACATTTGGATAGAAAGATGTATTTATAAAATTATTCATAAAAAGAGATATATAGTCAAATGAACGATAGCCTTGAAATACGAAAAGTGCATTTGTTGACGCATATTTGAAGTAAAAGATAGGTTATTCGAATACGTAAAATGAAACTAAAGTAAAGCTTAAACACGGGGCGGCGAAAAATCTTTTATAGGGCTTCAGTTTGCAGGATTAGAAAGTTCTTTTTCATAATAGCAGGAAAAAAGTATACTTATTTAAGGGAAAATATAAGCAATCTTATGTGAAATTCGTTTCTATTAAATTGGTTATTTACTAACATTAATTCTTAGAATTGAAACATTTATATTTTTAATTAGGTTGCAGGCAGTGTTACAGGGAAATATTACTTATGTCATAAAAGTGAGAAATCTTATACAAATCTATACAACTCTGTTCACTACCCAAAGCATTTGTTTATAGATTACTTTTGAATGTTAATATTAGGTGAAAAAAATCTGTTTTACACGTTGAAAGAAAAAATAGTGTTCTTCAAGCAACGATTTTGTCTGGGACATTTTATCATACGCTTCTTAAAACTGTAAAACACCAAGAGAAATTCAATCGAAATGTGAGCTATTGATGCTTTATTTCAGTGATACTTATTCTTCACAAATAAGGGCCAATTTAAATTGCATGTTGGTAATGTGGACCGATGAGCGTGTTTTCAGTAATTAGGAATGTGGCAGGATGAAAACAAACAAGAGTTTTTAGGGAAGCAGTTCCCTTTAAAGAAAGATACTTTTGCCAGATCTAATAATAACAGTAATAATGGTAACACAATAAAAGATCATACGGATGGTAAAAACATATGGTATCCGAACTCGTTCGGGTACCATTTTTTAAAAAATGGTTTTTATTTTAACTATAAACATATTAATTTGAAGATAAGCATATTAATGAGTGAAAACAATCTAAAACGTAACGCTAAGTAATTTTAATTTTGAAAAATAAGGAAAAAAAGGATAATTTTTGCTTAAATTTTGCCTTTACGGCAACATCCACGGTAATGTATATATAAATATGCAGTTTTTTTAATTTGTATTTATATTTAAACTTGTTTTGTATGCAATGAAGCAAAATAATTAAGAAATATTTATATATTCTTGAGATATGTCAAAATGTATAGTATTTACTGTATATTTTCCTATTATTGCATCCAAAATCTAAAAATAAAAGGTAACAATTCAACTTATAATTAATATTTTAAAAATCTTTTGCTTCAGAGCATGCATCAGATAATATGAAACATGTATAGAAAGTATCATTAAATTTTATCCATAAAATTTTGAGTTATGGCTGTTACCATTGGCAATATTTACAGAAAAAACATTTTTCAGAAAACAAGTTTAAAGTTTTCATAAAACAATTTCCTAGTGAAAGAAGCATCCCTAAGAATTAAAATTCCCCTGCTTTGTAACTTAACACCTTGTTTTTTTTCTTCCCACACTTTGCACACCTTTTCTTTCGAACAAAGCGTAATTTTTTCTTTCTGTTTTTGTAAAACTTGTGGAATGCCACCAAAAGTCATGATTTTGCACTTTATCAAGTTTTCGAATTCCCTGCTCAGTGTAAAATTCAGGGCACATACCTAACTTTGAAAATGCTTATACTATGAAACTTTAACTATGAAAACCTATAAATCCATCATTAAATAACCCAACACTTACATTTGCTATATTCGCAAGTTTATGAATGTTTCTTTCGGAGCAATTTGCAATAAAATGCCATTAAAACGTTCCTTGATATTTTGAGTTTTGCCATGTAGAACACTTTTTAATAACTCTTGTTTATGTAGTCAACTCCATATATGTAGGTTTAACTTCAAATTCAAAATATATATTCATATACCAGAGGTTTTTGCCTAATTTTTTATTTCTGATTTTTTTTTCCGGATTTCTGCAATGAACATTCATAGTTGCACCAATTCATTGATTGATGAATAGGCGTTGGCTACGAAGAAGAGCTACAATGGAACAAGCAACTAGTACAACCTGCTGCATCTCAGTTAAATTTGAAACATTACTTCTAATTGCAATCCCTAATTCTGCAGTCTATCAATAAAAGAATCAGTCAGTTACCTTTTCCTTTCAATTCAAGAGCAGAGTTTTTTACTTTTCGTAGTCCTACTACCAACCTTTTTCTGTACATGTTCCCAATGCATTCCAGTTCCTTGACTGAATCTTTACCATGTATATCTTTCACAATTAAAAAACCTCTTAGAATCCCCATCCTCGTAATACTCCGTGTGCTTCAGCTTTCGTAATGTAATAGATCATTCAAACAGGGAATAAGCACCAACTGCTGCTTCTTTATAATTTACAAAACAATTATATTACGCTTTACATATGTCGTGCTGAAGATTGTATGACATTCTGTTTATTTTGTTGCAAATGATGCAAAAATGTGACATAGCTTTCAAAGCAAGCACTTTGTCAACGCTAATCGACAAAGCAGCAACACATACATTCACCGTCGAATACCCTCTGCGCCAAACTAATTACGAAATTAAGGGAAAAAACTAACACCAGATTCTTAAAATGCATTACAAAATATCTAAACTTGGTACGCAGGTTTATAATTTACAAAATCTTGATGATAAATAAAGTTTCTAAATAGGTATATCTATTTAAACGCTCACTTCCGGCCCAGAATATTGGAACTTCCGGTTTATTCAGTTACAGAAAAATGCTTATAACTTCAATTCTTATTAACCTATCAACAAGGAGAAACTTGTATTTGATAGCTAAAGATGTATTCTTTAAGATAATGTAATAAAGAAAAAATCGAAATTTTGACCGAAAATCGTCTTTTGTACGAGGTCGGATACCTTTACTGTACATAATTG